AATCTGCCTGTTAGGACTGGTAAAAATCTGCTCTACTACAGGCCTAAAAGCTCTCCCAGGAGGCAGGGGCCTAGGTTTGAAGACATTTCTCTAAGGATTGGTAACTCTTCTGATTTAATTCCAGTCCTTATCTCATGCTGTAGACATTTGATATTGAGAAGAAATGCTCTGTGGAGAGAGAAACTATTTCCATGTTAACTATGCTGACCATACTTAGGCAAAGGCCAGTGTGTAGGTACAGTGTTAAAGAAGGAAATATTTGGATATTTACATGGACAGGACTTAAGAGGGAAAAAATGAAAGCTCTTGATAATGCACAGAAACTAGTAAAATAAAGACCATAGGTAGCTAGGAAGGGATCTGGACAGTGGCCAACATCTCCGAGAGCAACCTGCCACACAGATGTTTAAACATTACACTGTTTGCTAGTTGTTTTATGTATGTTAATTCTATCTTTCTTCTAGACTGGAAGCTCCTGAGGGCCAAGCCTTAGCTGCTATTGCTTCAGTCTCCTCACTGGTGCTTAGTACAAAGCAAAGATTTAATACATAAATTAAGAGTTGACAAACTAAAAGACTACAGCACAAAATCAACTCTAAATAATAATGTCACTGTATTTTAAGTTGGTGAAATTTAAAACACCATTATAACCAGAATTCTATGCTGATAAGATGAATGTTGAAATTCATTGCAACTGTGGCCATGATTAATCATGTATAAGTAATCATGTGCAAGTTTAATCATGCATCTTAGGGTAAGCCTACTTCCTTAACATCTTTTCTATTAAGTTACATTCACTATGCTAAGGGCCAAAGAACTTCTTAGCTCATCCAAATCTGTGGGTTTGCTTAAAAAAAGAGTCTGACAGCTTAACCAAAATATAAAATTATGAAGTAGAATTGGAACAGTATTTATTTACGAATATGAGTTAACATTATCATATCCTTAATAAATAAAATCTTTAAAAAAAAAACATTATCATATCCTTACATTTCTTAGACCAGAGTTTCTATAATTATGAAAGAAAATACTCCCAAATATTGTTTTATAAATTTCATGATGCAGAATAAAAAAAAAGACCTCAGTGCCATTCAATACTCATTTTAAGTTTAATTTTATTCTACTGTGATAACTAAAAAAGGAATGCCAGATCTTTATGCCAAAAAGAAAACTCTCACTAAACACACATTAATCAAATGTCATGCCTGTAGCTTTTTTCTAATCCCACAGCTAATGCAGAAAGTCAATAAAAATATAAAGGAATGTGGTAATTGCATTGTAATTAAAATGCACAAATTCACAGTATTTGAAAAATGTCAATGGTAGAGTGCTGCCCCCAAGTGGCATAATGATAAATTGCAATACTCTGATGGAAAAGAATAGCTATAACTATTTGTCAAGTTTTTTGATTAAATCTAAAACTGTATATTACATAAACTTAGATTTCACTTGGGCTATTAATAAGTGTCCTATGGACCATCTCAGACTCATGGTATATCCAAGTCACTCTTTTAACTAGGGATACCAAGACACAGTCTGGTATATAAGGTTATGATACACTTTCCTTATAATCTCAAAAGATCAGGGGTGTGGAGTCAGATCTACTCTGATCTATTAAGGGAACTGCATTCAAAACATCATAGAAATCTTTTTAGAAAGTATTATTTTCTACCCATCTCTGACATTAACCAATTCCCTATGTTTATGGCCTAATATGTAAAGCATAATTTAAAACCTTATCTAATCAAATTGCTTGGCGAATGGGTGGTACTAATTAATGTGCTTTGCTCACAAACTGAAGATTCAACTGTCAACACTCTGGGGAAAGAATCTAAAAAAATATGAGTTTAGTTTTCTGCTTCTGTACATGTATTAAACATAATCACTGATGAGTTGCTATCTTATGTAGCTAAAAGGTCAACATTCTGAGGATCAATTGCTTTTGGACAGTCATAGAGATAAAAAAGAAGAGATGACAACAGAATTGCTACAGTCTCAAGAAAGATCCTTAAATAAGATTTTAAAATCACATCCTTGAGATCAGATTGCTTTGAGAGATTTCTCTCTTAAAAGTACAATGCAAAAGAAAAACTTCCACTTTAATAGAGAGTGCCAATTGCAGTTATTGGGTGGTGACTAGATAAAGTTTTATTAGACTTCCTTTAATTATTCCTTTAACTTGGATTATTTACAAATAAGATGAATCTCAACTGCTATTGAATGATATCCATAAGGTAATATGATAATATTTTATATTTTACACATTTACAAATAAATTTTTATCTATTTATAAATATATCTTATATTTATATATTATGTAATCTTTATTATATAATATCTATTTATCTTGATGTTCTATACATATAGATAGATAGATAGATAGATATCTTATTTAGCCCTATTACAGTCCAATGAAGTATTACATCCATCTTACAGATAAGAAAACTAAAGCTCAGATTAGGAAACTGCATAACCTTAATCCTATAGTTAAGAACAAGACTGGCTTTACATCTTGACCTGTTCACCTCCAAACCCTGGGGTCTTAACTGTGACAAGTTACAGCCTTCCTTCTAGCATTCTAGGATTTTGTGAGCAGCTAAGGCCATGATTCTTCATGATTTTAGCAGAGAGTTCTAAAATCAATTGATCTAAAATCAAATGTCTACAAAGACAGGCAGGTAGTAGAAAGGTGTGATACAGCTGCGTATAAGAGACAGTGAAGAGTAGCAGCACGTGGCTAATTAAAGAGCACAGGGTCTAACTAAAGGGGGCGGCTGCTACCCACCTCCAGCCCATGTGTCAGCAAATGTCACCAAATCTTTTGGTTTGTATTTTCCCCAAGAGAAATGCAAAGCTCGATTTTTATAACACTGCCCTTTTAAAATACTGGCAACTAATTTAGACTAAAAAAGAAACACTATTCAGGCCAAACAAAACACATCTGAAGGCTGAATGTAGCCTGTATGTAATACGTTGTAGAGATTCTGATGATGATGATTCTTTTTCAAGAGATTCTATACTAGACTTCCTGGTATCAAATAATTTGTCAATTATCCTCACTATTGGATTCATTCCACACACCTAGGCTTCATCTGCCATATTCAGCTCAAGTTAGGTGTTTTCAGACTAGTAGTGCAAGTACAGGAAAAGTTATTGACAAATCACTTCCCAACCAACCAGCCCCTTCCCTCTCTCATTTCTCTCCCCCTGCCCCCCAACACCTACACACTTTACTCACCCACCATCTCAAGTCTGAAGCTTTCAAGTTTGGTCTTCATATATATTAATTTGCATCCCTTTGTTGAACTTTTTAGCCCTCCTGTGAATTCTCTTAAAATTCTTCACATTCCTCACTCACTGAAGATACCAAAATTAAATATAGTCTTTATGATCAGGGATAGAAGCAGAAAAATATTCACCTTTAGCCCAGAGGCTGACCTATAGCCTGCACAGTTTCGATAAAGATCAAATGCATACTGGCTGCTACATTCTTTTTTTTTTTTTTTTTATTGCAAAAGTAGTTTTACAAGTAGAAATTCAAAGAAAACATTTATGATCTAATGTTCCCTGCTCATCCCCTCCCCCTTGAGCACTAACCATAAAACCACCAGCTTCATACAGCAATGTGCAGCTCTTTCAGCCCACAGGTCCTAACCCTGTTGCTATAATAAAAGCACCTTTTTGCACCGAAAATGTCTCAAGAATTCTTGACCATTTGCTTGTGGCCCCACATCACTTACAATGAGACTTTTACACGTTCTGGGTCAGATTTAGGTCTTACTCTCAATGTTTCCATAAAGGTACTCTAGTAATTTTCAGAAATTTATCATCCTGTTCTACATGGCTGGAATCGTACCTCTAGGATTTATGGAGAAGAATTCTTTTTGATAGGAGTCATGAAGTATGCTCTAAGGACACAAGAAAAGTACCAGCACTGTCACTATTCTTCATGCAGGAATTTACTGAAAACTACGAATTCTAGATAATTACTTTTTAAACTTCTGGATATAGAGACCATTTAAAAAGTTGATTTTGAAAATAAAATAGTAGCATCAACATTTACCTTTATAATTCCTATGTGATGTTAAGAAGTAGAAAATGTTTATCATATTGATTTTAAATCCAATGGGCAGAAGCTGAAAGAATTTAGAGTAGCCTCAAAACCTCTGAAAAAAAGAATAGATTATGGGATGGAAGTCTGTTCTTCTGGAGTTAAGGGCTGATGTCTTGGATCGTTCTTCCTTCTGCTTTCTATTTTTCCTGTGTTTCTGATGTACAAGTTTCTCATCTGAACTTCAATTCTAACTAACTTTTCACTGTAGCAAATTCAAACAACTTCAAGCTAGAAAGGAAGATTCATCCTTATCTGTAACAGACATACCAACCAACAGCATTATGAGTTTTTCTCTACTATGAAAGTTTAAGGGTCCGATCAAAATCAAAGAAAAGGAAGTAACAAGAGGGTCCTCAATATCATTAAGCTAATTTTAGATGGAGCCCCTGTTTGGTTTAAATGTCTGATTTGTGAGCTGTATAACTATAGACTTTGAAAAATTCCTTCATAGAAGCAAAAAAAAAATTAATACCGTATTTCCCTTAGTACCCCCTATTCACCTCTAGTATGAATTATCATTTATTTGCATTTCATAACATTTCTAAAATTGCCATCATTATAAACAATTCTTACTTTCTCATTCAAGAAGTCCCAATCAAGTTAAGTGGAAGCGATGGTGTAATTGAGATTCTGGTATGCATAAAAATGATATTTTCACTTCATCTACCCCATTTCCCTTTTCTGGGTCATTTGGGTACTTCACTCACCTGCTGAAATGCTTTTAAAAATCTTATCTGAGGACACCATTCAAGAAGCTTTTCTTTCGCTTACTAAATTCTTGGAATCTTAAATGCAAAGAGCAAATGGTACCCCATGTTTTTAATCAGCTAAGAGCTACACATACAGGGCAGCCAACTCAAAATTTGTATGAAGCATTTTTACTTACAATTCCTCTCCTTGTTTTGCTTTCTTGTCTGAAACTAGATAGACAGTTCCAAAACTTCCACTACCAAGTTTTTGTTGAAGCGCATATCTTCTTGCAATCAAGGTCTTTGGATAAGTAGAAATGGCTATTGATCCATTCGCACACTTAGCAGCCTCTTGGAATTTCAGCATTGCTCCAAACAAGAGAGAACTGGTTTATTTGTATATAGAAATTTAACATTCAAGTCTCCTAGAAGACGGCCAAATTCATCCAAGTAGCTTCGGTCAATCCTTTAAAAGTGAAAAGACCAGAGATCAGGTCCAAAGAATGCTGAAGTATTCCTAACAATAGGTATAAGTTTTTGACATTGATACCTGCACCTTGAATAGTGGATTCAATGACACCACACTTAATGACTTGAGAGAAAAATGTTAAAAGGTAGTGATACTGGCAGATTCTAGTAGAAGACAGTCTTTCCACAAGAAGAGAGCCTTCCCTGGGGCGCCTGGGTGGCTCAGTTGTTAAGCATCTGCCTTCGGCTCAGGTCCTGATCCCAGGGTCCTGGGATCAAGCCCTGCATTGGGCTCCCTGCTCAGTGGGAGGCCTGCTTCTCCCTCTCCCGCTCCCACTCCCCCTGCTCGTGTTCCCTCTCTCACTGTCTCTCTCTCTCTCTGTCAAATGAATAAACAAAATCTTTTAAAAAACAAAAAAAGGAGAGAGCCTTCCCTCATACATCCAAATATGGCAAAAGTGAGTTACAGTTAAACAGTGTTTAAGATTTATACTCCCCACCTACTTCTTAAAAAAATCCAAATATAAGAACACTATAATTTCCTTAAATTTATACATTTGCGGGACACCTGGGAGGCTCAGTCGGTTAAGCGTCTGCCTTCGGCTCAGGTCATGATCCCGGGGTCCTGGGATCGAGTCCCGCATGGGGCTCCCTGCTCCGCGGGGAGCCTGCTTCTCCCTCTGCCTCTGTCTCTCTCTCTGTCTCTCATGAATAAATAAATAAAATCTTTAAAAAAAAAATTTATACATTTGCATCAATCTTTTTGTAATTCTTCCCATCTTATGTCTGTTTTGATTAACAAATAGTGAGTTCGGATTAAACTAGAAATTAGCATAGAATTTTTTCTGTAGACGTTAAAGCATGGTATTTGCACTTATTAGAATAGATGTGAAGAGGAATAAAGATTTCAGAACAAATTTTTTTCCCATCCTAAACAAATTCTGGTCCAGTTTCTGAAGTTATTATACACACTGTGTATAGAGTAATCACTCTGGATTGGAAACAAGAAGTGTGCAAATGCGGTTCAAACCACAAATTGTATTTTATGATAGCTGAATATAAATGTGTTATAATTCCTCAAGGAACTATAAATATACAGCAGGATTATGAAAAGTAGGACTGTTTCATATGAGTGTATGCCCAGTAAAATCACTTTTATTTCATCAAAATGTAAAATGTTTTGTTAGTTACCATGAAAAGTGGGTTTTGTTTAAAATCTAAGAAAACATGATTTTAAATTGAAGACTGTCTATGCCTTGGAGTCAAGTTTCCATATTCAACTATTCCAAAGCTATAACACAAAAACTTATTGTATATAATGATAAAACAAGATGCTATCTGTATAGTTTGGGGTATATGACCAACAAGCTTCACAGGGTGGTGACAATCACAAAATTCCTCAAATTTAAGCATAAATAGCAAATGTCCATTTACAGCATTTTTCTTCTTGAAATAATGCATTAATTAGTTAAGTTTTACCTGATGCCAGTGAGAAGTATTCTCGTAACCAGCCTTAAAAAAAAAAAAAAATTAAAAAGAGGGGTGTGCCTTGCTGGTTCAGTGGGTAGAGCGCGCCACTCTTGATATCGGAGTTGTGGGTTTGAGCCCCATGTCGGGTGTGGAGATTACTTAAAAATAAAATCTTTAAAAAAGGGAAGAAAGAGGGTGCCTGGGTGGCTCAGTTGGTTAAGCGACTGCCTTCGGCTCAGGTCATGATCCTGGAGTCCTGGGATCGAGTCCCACATCGGGCTCCCTGCTCGGCAGGGGGTCTGCTTCTCCCTCTGCCCTCTTCCCTCTCGTGCTCTGTCTCTCATTCTCTCTCTCAAATAAATAAATAAAATCTTTAAAAAAAAAAAAAAAGGGAAGAAAGAAACCAAATCATCTGGTGGCTATGAGCTCATACTAAAACAACATTAGCATTGGGTTGGAACTTCAGAGCTGGGGCCCATACCTCAAAATCTCTGAATAAATAAAAAATTATGTCAGATTATCAAGATCACAGAAAATAGGGGCACCTGGGTGGCTCAGCCGTTAAGCGTCTGCCTTCCGCTCAGATCATGATCCCAGGGTCCTGGGATGGAGTCCCACATCGGGCTCCCTGCTCGGGGCGGGGGGGGCGGGGGGGGAACCTGCTTCTCCCTCTCCCACTCCCCCTGCTTGTGTTCCTGCTCTCGCTATCTCTCTCTCTGTCAAATAAATAAATAAAATCTTAAAAAAAAAAAAAAGATCACAGAAAATATTAGTGAAATCTACTATTGAAAAAACAGTTGGAGAGCAGGCCTCTACATGTGTATTTTGTTTGCTTTCTGTGCTCCCATAAAAGTGCTACTTGCTGGCCAAATTAAGGTGTTAAGAAAAATATATGGACTCACAGCCTTTTCAACCGAAAAGAACCCTTCCGATCACCCAGTAATTTTCCTTATTTTAGGGATGAGATAACGGTCCCTGTTTAGTGAAGGACAGAATAGTTCTGAGACGTCCAATTTTCCAGGGACTCCTATTTGTAAATGAGCTTTTAAACCCAGCAGTGTCATCTAAGCAGTCTGGCCAGGCCCTCAGAGCACTCTGGGACTAGGTTCCCAGACTCAGCCCTGCCACCCCCTTCCCCAGTCCACCTTTAGGCCATCGATTCCATTAATCTCTGTGCAACCACAGAGCTACCCTAGTAGGGCACCTGCCGTCTAGATTCTAGAACTATCTGTTCGTTTGTCAACGTTCCCTCGCCCCCACCTCATGAAGCTTGTGAATGAAGTTGAGCTCCAGGAACACACCCTATCTTTGTATCCTTGGCTCCCGTCATAGAGTGGGTGTTCAATACGTTTTGTTAAGGCAAACAAGCGTCCAGCACACCGACTGTTGACCAAGGGAGGAAAAAAAGGGGGGGGGGGATGGTGAGAGGCGGGAAGAGAAGATTTAGAAAGCTGGATGGGAACCGTGAGAAAGGTGAGAGATTACCTCCTGCAAACTGACCCTCGGAGGTAAAACTAGCTGGTTGGGGGCAAAAGGCAAGGGAAGGAGAGTGTATCACAGTTTGAAGTCAAGTAGTTCTCTCACTGCTAATAAATGAGAGGAAGCAGATTTGACACCAGATTCTGCTAAAGTAGAACGCTAACCTTAAAGGTCTCACGAACATTCCCTGCCTCAACTTTTTAAAAATTACATTTTCGCAAAGCGGGTTAACCTATATGGAGGAGGCGCCGGCAACACTGATTCTCCGGAGACTGGAGCAGATCCGGGAGGAAAGGAGCCGAGGGAAGTGAAGGGGTCGCGGGCATGGAGGCCCAGGGATGCGGGTCCCGGCTGGGGCAGCCTGAAGCCATCACCTTCTCCTGCTTCGGGGAGCCCGGCACGCCCCGAGGAGCGCCCTTCGCCTTTCGCATACCTTTCGGTGTCGAGGGCGGAGGAGCGGCGGCCGGGGCATGCCCACAGTCCCACCCGTAACTGGGACGTATGTTGGGCAGGTCTCTCGTAGGTGCAGCCGCGCCGCCGAGCTCCAGTACCTCCCGGCGCCGCTGTTGTGCGCCGTTGCCAGGGAGACAGAGTGGGGCATGCTGGGAAGCCGGGGCTAGGCGGCCCAGCGCGCGTCCCCGAGGCGGAAGTGTGCGCCGACCCAAGTGGGCGGGGAAAGACGAGCAGGCGCGACCGGTCTGGCGTTCCTAACCTGACAGCCGCCATTTCGGAGCTTACTTCCCGGCCCTCCTTTAGCGACCTCGCGCCTCCAGGCCCGGGAGCACCTGCCCCAGGCGCAGTCTGGCACCACTGGCTTCGTGGAACCGAGCTTCCCAGTGACGTCATACCCGGAGACTTCCGGTTCCCGCTCTTGAGGTTGGAGTCTCACGTGCGGGCGTTTCCAGCAGAGGCGCCCGCAGTCTTTTAATGGAAGGGCTGGTGCTCTGGGAGGAAGATGCAGGTGGGCTCTGCTGCTGGTCCGGGTAGCGAGTTGTAAGGGTTGTGGTGGCGTGATGTATGAAGGCCTGTGTTTGACTACTAACATCAGACCTTTTGTGCGCCTTTCTCCTATCCAGCTCGCTTTTGTTCAGCAACTGTTGCAAGGTCCTGTAATTGGTTTAGGATGAGTTGACATGGCCTCTGTTAGCATAAGCTTTACAAGACATAAATAACTGCTGTGCCGGATAAGGTGCTGAGGGTTGGGCTAAAATTAGGGTGAAATGAGTTGGGCGCAAAATGCAAGAGGGTACCTCAAAAGTCTGTAATCAAGATAAATATATTTTAATGCGGTATATTTAAAAATCAAAATTAATGCAAAAGAAATCCATGATTGACAAAATCTCATGGTTGTTTTTTTTTTTTTAAGATTTTATTTATTTATTCCTGAGAGATAGAGAGAGAGAGGCAGAGGCAGAGGGAGAAGCAGGCTCCCCGCGGAGCAGGGAGCCCGATGCGGGACTCGATCCCAGGACCCTGGGATCATGACCTGAGCTGAAGGCAGACGCTTAACCAACTGAGCCACCCAGGCGTCCCGAAATCTCATGGTTTTAAATAAAGACAGTGCCATGCCGAGCCATACTGGAGTGTGAGGCCAAAGGAAAAGCTAGTAACACACATCCTGTGACTTAAGTTAGCCAGATAAGGAACTATATTCTTGGTACTGAACCAGATATGCAAAGACAAGAAAATGGAAAGAGCCTCTGGTTAGGGTGAAACTGGAGAGTAAGCCCCTGCATGCTTATGAAGCAGTAATTTTCCTTACTCAAAACTATGCCAATTAAGATGGGACCTAACACAAGCCAAGGCCTAAAAGAAATTCCCAGACTCTGATTGTCAATAAAGAAAAACTGGATCCATATCATTGACCCTATACACTTTAGTTAACTGAAGCCCAGTGCTCTCTGATTTATTAATTATGAGATTGAGGAGGGTATCATTTTTATAGCTTAGGACTTTTTATTTTGGCCCTACACAAATATTCTGTGTTGCAAGATGGTGACCGTTACCTATCTCAATATCAGAGTCCACAGTAGTCTCTATAAGTATGTCAGTAATGGACTTCAACTGATTTTCTTTTAGAAACAACAGGCTCCATCCCTATCCAGAGATTAAACTCCATGAAACCATTGCATTTGTGCCTTGTTACACATGGGGAAAGCTGCTTGAGCACCTAGGTAAGAATTGAGATGCTAACACCTAATATGTTCTGTTTAAAGAGCTGTTCATAATATTTGCTGTTGGTTTGTGGTGCTGGAAATGATGACTTGGTCCCCAGTAAACAGCATCAATTGAAAGTGTGTTCTGTGTTTTAAACAGGCAGTTCTTCAGACAGTCATCATGGGTATTCGAGGACTAATGAGTTTTGTGGAAGATCACAGTAATGAGTTCTTCACTGATTTGAAGTTGCGAGACACAAAAATTGTCATTGATGGCTATGCTCTCTTCCATCGGCTTTGCTTCAACTCAAACTTGGAACTTCGGTATGGAGGGGACTATGATTCTTTTGCAGATGTTGCACAAAAATTCTTTGAATCACTGTTTGCTTGTAATATCTGTCCATATGTTGTATTAGATGGAGGATGTGACATTTCTGATAAAAAGCTTAAAACTCTAAAGGATCGAGCTAGAGAGAAGATCCAGATGGCTCATTCCCTTTCTGTTGGTGGGGGTGGGTATGTGTGTCCCTTACTCATCCGGGAAGTGTTTATACAGGTTTTGGTCAAGCTACAGGTGTGTTTTGTCCAGTGCTTTTCAGAAGCAGATCGGGACATTATGACACTAGCTAATCATTGGAATTGCCCTGTGTTATCATCAGATAGTGACTTTTGCATCTTTGACCTAAAAACTGGGTTTTGCCCATTGAATAGCTTTCAGTGGAGAAATGTGAACACTATCAAAGGCACACAAGACTGCTACATCCCTGCCAAGTGCTTTTCCCTGGATGCACTCTGCCATCATTTCAGCAATATGAATAAAGCTCTACTGCCTCTCTTTGCGGTGCTATGCGGAAATGATCATATTAATCTGCCCATCATAGAGACATTCTTAAGTAAAGTACGTCTTCCTCTTGGAGCTACCAGTTCTAAGGGGAGGAGACATCACCGAGTTTTGGGACTTCTGAATTGGTTATCTCATTTTGCCGACCCTACTGAAGCACTGGATAATGTTCTGAAATATCTCCCCAAAAAGGATCGTGAAAATGTTAAGGAAATTCTCTGCTCTTCCATGGAAGAATACCAGCAATCTCAGGTGAAGCTGCAGGACTTTTTCCAGTATGGTACTTACGCCTGTCCAGCCGCCTTGAATCTGGACTTACCAGAATGGGTATTAGTGGCTTTGGCCAAAGGCCAGCTATCTCCTTTCATCAGCGATGCTTTGGTGCTAAGAAGGACCATTCTTCACACACAGGTGGAAAATATGCAGCAACCAAATGCCCACAGAGTATCTCTGCCCATCCGGCAAATCATCTATGGGCTTCTTTTGAATGCCTCTCCACATCTGGAAAATATGTCCTGGGATGCATTGCCTTCTCAGCCTCTAGCTTTCAGCGAAATGGAAAGGATTAATAAAAATATCAAAACATCGATTGTTAATGCAGTAGAACTGCCCAAGGATCATTCTGACTTAAGCAAATTGACTGAGGTAAGTGTAACACTAATCTAATTTTTGTAAAGTATCTTACAGGTTAAAAAGTGCTTTCATGCATATTATCTCTCTTAATGTAACCAAATGAGGTTGGTTGCTCTAGTCCCCCCATTTCATAGCGGAGAAAACTAGGACTCAAAGTAGGTCACTGTGTGATATGTCAGCCAGAGGGTTGCAGTCAAACCCAGGTTTTTAGCCCCAGATCTGCCATTTGCACTCTACTTTAGTAGTCTGTGTTATTTTGCAGTTATTACTACTAGTTTGTTGATACTAGCTGTTAATAAATTGGGGTCATGTGCCTTTAGAAAAAGAAAAAATTCTGAGCTGCAAAAAGAAGTGTGCCTTGAAGGTATTGATCATAGGCATAATGAATATCTTAGACTGCATCAGATTTCAATTAATAAGATTAATACTAATTCTTGCTTGGTCTAATTTTTCATTTTTATCGATGAGGACCTTTTTCTTAGGCTTTAGGTTTATGGCATCATGATGATTAGTTTGATATTGAAAATATGAATCTTAGCCTCAGTGTTGTTTAAACCTGAGTAACACTCAGACCAATCCACTTTTCAAGGTAAAAAATAATTTATGGATCCCAGTGTTTATTGTTTGTAATATTACATAAATATATTAAAAATTATAAATAGAGGGGCACGTAGGTGACTCAGTCAGTTAAGCATCTGCCTCTTGATTTCAGCTCAGGGTCCTGAGATCGAGCCCCGAGAAGGGCTCTGCACTGGGTATGGAACCTGCTCAAGATTCTCTCTGTCCCTCCCTGCTCACATCCTTGCTTGGGCGCTCTCTCTCTCAAAAAAATTATAAATATGGAACTGCTTATGCTAACACAATTAAATTTACAAATTAAATGCAGATAAACTTAAAATACCAATTGCAGTGTCTATTCAGAGTTTTCTTAAATTCAGCTAATACTCAGATTCATGAGACTCTCATAGACCATTCCTGGTAGGTCTACTCAAGCATGTAGGACAGCAACCATAGCTTCCCAGCAGTTTGAATCAGGATTTTCTTTCCTGTGGAAGTTTTTGCAACAGTTTCCACCAATGGTTCTCCACTGGGATGATTTGTCCCCCTACCTCCCACAGGGGACATTTGGCAGTGTCTGGAGACACTTCCAATTATCACTACTTAGGTTGTTGGGGGAGGGAGGGGTGTTGCTACTGGCATTTATTGGGAAGTTGGAAGCATCCAAGCATGCTGCTGAACATCTTAAAATGCACCGGACAGCTCCCCCAAGAACAAGCATTATCCAGCCCGAAATGTAGTAATGCCAATAGCTGGCCTACACTGTTGGCTAGGGACTAAATTCTTTAATCTCCCCATTAGTGCCAGCTCAGGCAGGAGGAAATGAGATCCACATCAGGTGGGTATCAGTGCCTCCTTGGCAATGAGGAATGACTGCTAATGGGAACAGTGTTTCTTTTTGGGGGTGCTGAAATGTTCTGGAATTAGTGATGGTTGCACAAGCTTATAAATATACTAAAATCACTTTAGCATTTCCGAGGGAGGGGGTTGGGGAGATGGGGTAACAGGGTAATGGGTATTAAGGAGGGCACGTGTTGTGATGAACACTGGGTGTTATATGCAACTAATGAATCATTGAACGCTACATCAAAAACTAATGATGGCTGACCATAAAAAAAATTAAAATTAAATAAAATTAATAAAAATAAATAAATAAAATTAAAAATAAATAAAAGGGTGAATTTATAACATGTGAATTATATCTCAATTAAAGAAAGAAAAGGTCTCACTGGCCTCCTTCCCCCTCCTTTTTTGTAACAATTCCATAAACATAGCTTCCAGGCTCCCTGCAGGGCCATGCCTAAATATAGGTCACTGTGCTCAGGGAAGCCCCATGATATGATGTCCCCATCTGGTGTTTACAGTTCATTTATAGTTCAAATCCAGATGCAGTTTTCCAAGAGTCATTCTTACCATGCTAAGTAAAACAACTTTATCACGTTTCCAGGGTTACAGAAGTAGAAAGTTGAGCATAGGTCAAATTCCAAACAGAAGGGATTTATTAAAACTTTACCTATACCAATAAAATTGAAATTAGCAACATTCTAAATGATGATATTTTGTTAAAATTATTTCTCCTCACAACATAAATGGTGCTGTGTTGGAGAGTTTTTCAAACTTTTTATGGGGGCACCTGGGTGGCTTAGTTGTTAAGCGTCTGCCTTCGGCTCAGGTCATGATCCCAGGGTCCTGGGATAGAGCCCCTCACCAGGCTCCCTGCTCAGCAGGAAGCCTGCTTCTCCCTCTCCCACTCCCCCTTGCTTGTGGTCCCTCTCTCACTATATCTCTCTGTCAAATAAAATCTTTTTTTTTAAACATTGTTTTTTTTTAAAGACTTTATTTATTTATTTGAGACAGAGAGAATGAGAGAGACAGAGAGCACTTGAGAGGGGGGAGGGTTAGAGGGAGAAGCAGGCTCCCTGCTGAGCAGGGAGCCCGATGCGGGACTCGATCCCGGGACTCCGGGATCATGACCTGAGCTGAAGGCAGTCGCTTAACCAACTGAGCCACCCAGGCGCCCTCTGTCAAATAAAATCTTAAAAAAAAAAAAAGTTTATGGCTTTATCGAGAAATGACGTACTGTGAAGTGCCCATATTTAAAGTGTGCGTTTTGATGAGTTTGTTTACATTTGTGAATCCATCTTGCAATTAAAATAATGAATGTATGCATCACTCCTAAAAGTTTCCCCTTGCCTCTTTGCAATTCATCCCTCCCTGAGTATGTACACATAGCAAAGTACACAGACAATTGTATAGCTTGATGAATTTTCACCAACTCGACACTTCCATGTAAAAAACGCCCAGATGAAGACACATTATCAGCACCCCAACAGCTTTTCCTAATGTCTGGTTCAAGCGCTCCCCTCCCACCTCCTGTAATCACTATCCAGGCCTGTAATAACATTGAATAGTTTTAACTTTTTGTATCTTATAAAAATGGGATCATATAATATGAATTCTCTTATCTGGTTTCTTTTATTCAACATGTTTGTGAGATTCACATCACTGTGAGAAGCTGTAGATCATTTATATCTCATTGCTATGTGGGAATACACCACAGTTGACTTATCCATTTTGCAGGTGATGGGCATTTGGGTAGTTTGCAGTTTGGGCAATTATGAATAGTGCTATGAACATTCTGGTGCACATCATTTATTGAAAATATGGACACATTTCTATTGCATATACCACTAGGAGTGGCATTGTTAGGTCAGAAGATATGCGTATGTTCAGTTTACAAGATATATTGCCAACAGTCTTGCAAGGTGGTTTAACCAATTAATATTCCCACCAGCAGCTTATGAGGGTTCCTCTTAATTTACTCCCTTCCTGACACTTTATCCTTTAAAAATTTTTTTAGCTATTCTGATGTTTGTATAGTGGCATCATTTTAGCCAATTTGGTGGGTGTTAATTTGCATTTCTCCGATGACTTATTTGGGCACCTTTTATGTGCCCATTGGCCATTTGGATATTGTTACATAATTTCCTGTTCAAAGTCTTTTGCCCATTTTTCTGTTGGCTTTTTATTTCTATATATGGGTCCTTTGTCAAATAACATGTAAACAGACTCACATTCTCTAGGTTCTTTTCATTCTAGTATATTTTGATGAACAGAAGTTTTTAATATAGTCCAATTTTTTTATTATTTATGATTATCATTTTCTGTGACTTACTTAGAAAATTACTGCCTACTTCAAGGTCATGACAGTTTTTTTGCCTTTCATATTTAGATCTGTGATCTATCTACAACTGATCTTTTGTGTATGGTGTGACATAGGGATCAGGACACGTTTTCCCCCATATAAAAATCCAGTTGAGTCAATGAGTGTAGTATGATAATTATACTCCTTGCTAAGTGGAGATGACAAGTGTTCTCATCACTTACCTGTATTCAAAATAGTGTGAAATTTTAGTTCACTTTCTGTGTGGTGAGATCTTTCGGCTTTCCCTAGGCATAAACTCATCAATTCTTTATTTAGCTCAATGTTGCTAACTCTAATTAGCCCATGATAATTCTAAATGGTATCAGGAGCAAATGTGATTCCAAAGACAAATGCAGGTATACAAACAGAAATTTTGTGATAGCTATCTGTTCACTTAGAGGTAGTAATAATACTTATCTGCCTTGTGCCAGCTGTTGTAATAGAAACTTTATATTTAATTCCCACAGTAACCACTGTGGGTAGGGTTTCCATTTTGGTTTTGTTAGTTGCAGTGGATAGAGCTCCGCTCAAGTTAACCAATGAGAGGTTAATCATAAGGAGAGATGGAAGTGGATTATTCTTTGGGAGTAAGACAATGCCAAGACCAGCCTCTCTCTGGGTGTCTCTGTTTCTCTGTGGGGTTTTCTCCTACATGTTTGTGCTTTCCTTCACCTCCGGGTAAGGGAAAGGAGTTGTCACATGGGGTAAAACCTAACCAGATTTAAGGGCTGTGAGCAGCAGTTCCTCTTTTGGAAGGGGCTGAGAACTGGTGGATTTCATGAAACATCTTGTGTAATTCATTATAAGCCCATTTACAGATAATCAGACTGTAGAAAAGCTCAGAAACTTGCCCAATGCTGTACAGTGAGAGATAGAACACCTCTAAAGTCAAAGCCCAAACTCCACTTTGTTCATAAAAGTTGTAACTTGGCTAGAGAATCCAATAATTTAAGCATTATATATCAGAAAAGAATTCATGTTTAGCTTTACTTGGTGTGTTTTCCTACCAGTTGAGATCATAGTTTTTTTTACTCTAAATTTAAGTAGTTAATTGCTACTCCCCATAGGAGTGATTGATTACACTGTAAAGCATTTTGCATATTTTTAGTTTTAAAAAGCTTATCAGTATCAGAATTTTAAAACCAGTGTTTATAAATCATTATGTTTAATACTCTCATGCATCAGTGATGAAACTATTTTGTCAATTATGGTGTGTTTTATTTCAGGTTAACATGTCCATTCCCAGCTGTCAACACACTGACTACAAACTAGGTTTTAGATGCTGAGCAATTGTTTCATCCTTTCAGAAAAGTTAAGACAGAAATCATTTTCTGGCTGCATGTAGACACTAGGAATACAACTCTTTTCTCTCTTAAAGTTTGATCATAAAGTTCTTCTGAAGGTGCCCTTTTAATAGTCCTAATTTCCTTATTTGTAGAAGCGTGTGATCTAGAAGGTCCCTTATGGTTCTTAAGATTCATTAAGATAAAGTTATTTCAAGAAGCCTGAAACCCTCATAACTGTTAACTTGCTTTTATTTGAAGTGCACTCTAAAGCACGGAGTAAAAGTGAGTGTGGTGTGTTACTGCAAGCACAGTGAGGTAGTCCTTAAATATTACCATCTCCCTTGACTATCTCTCTCACCTACAAGCAGCTACCCTGTGTGGGAAAACAAAAAGATAATAAACATTCACCTTACGGATAGGGACATGAGACAGGACCCAAACAAACAGAAGCTTGTATGATATGCATATAATCTAAGTTTGCCTTCTAGAGGTGATCGGTAATGGCACCATGAAGAAGGTGGGGCCTCAATATTCACTGGCAAGTAAGAGTAGGGTTAAGTATAGATCTTTGTTTCTCAAAGCAGAATAGTTAAAATTCAGATTCCTGGGTTCCTCACAAATTTACTGAATCAAAATTTAGGGGGTGGGACCTGAGGACTGAATTTTTTAACAAGCTTCCCAAGTGATATATCCACTGAAGATGTTCACCAGCCTACATGGAGGATGGAACGACATGAGCAAGGGCTGTGTAGTGAGGGTAGACAATGTATCCATTCAACCATATTTATTAAGCACCCAGTGTTTTCAATGCTTTGAATGTGGCTGATTTCTTTCCACAGGAAGATGATAAACTGACAGAGCAATTCATTTGCATTAAAGTCTCTTCATACTAGGGAAAAAAACCAAACAAACCAAAAAAACAGACATTCCCCAGAGTAACTTGGAGGATGTTTGGTATGTATTTTCAGCTGTCCCTGGCCAAACGGCAGATACTTCTGTTAGACACCCTGAAGGTGAAACGGACGGTCCTGGAATCAATCCCTTCTTCACTGAAGCTGCCCATTTCCGTCAGTTGCTACTGGTTGCAGCACACAGAGTCCAAGGCAAAGCTACATCACCTGCAGGCCTTACTGCTAGGGATGCTGATGGGGCCCTTGCATGCCATAATAACCAGCCCTGGTAGGTATCTGGAAATTCCAGGAGTATGTATTTGCATGCTACTTGCATATAATCACAAGTTTAAGGAAATGAAAAAAAATTTTGCATTATTTACTCCCATCAGTTATATCCAGAACTTAGGAAGAGGCACAAAATAGCACTCATTCATTGGCAGATGTTTCTGAGCACTTGTGTGTGCCAGGCTCTGTGCTGCAGAGCTTGACTACAACGGCACAGCAGTGAAGATGTGCTGGTACTGTCCCACCTGCTCTGTGGCACCTAATGCTTTAATCTATGAAGTGTGACTGTAGAATGTGCCCGTTACATTCTGTATTCCGTGTACCCTGGCCCTATCAATAGAGTGGCAACATCATCACTAGAAACCGATTTAAAATTGTCCATTGGTGAAACTTCTGAATACCTACAACCATAATAAACATTCATGCTTGTGCTCTTTTGTTTTGTTTTTACTTTTTCTCCACTGTAAGTTTCAATTAGTGTGTTAGTGATGGTAGAAATAGTAACTTTTCTTTCTATAATAGAAATACACTTTAAGGCAGTTTCAGCTGCATCCAAGTATCAGGTGAAATAAATGAGGATGCACTGGAGCACTTCAATTCTCTAGTGGAAATACTCCCTTTAAAAGATTATGAATGCTTTAACACTTTATCTAAACATGTATAATCATTGTCACACTCCAGAACAGTGCTAATATCTAATCTAATGGCCACTAGTCATGTGTGGCTATTTAAATTAAAACTTCAGCTTCTCCTTGACACCACGCACATTTCAAGTGCTCAGTAGCCACATATGGCGAGAGGCTGAATTGGACAGCACAGATACAGAACGTTTCCATCACTGCTGAAAGTTCTGGTGGGTAGTGCTACTCTGGAGTTTACTTTTTAAAATAAGTTAAATGAGAGTGAACTAGTCTAGATTCCAGGACCCCCAAGTGTGAGAGTAGTTGTCAGAAGGCACTATTGTTCTAGGACAGCCAACTTAATGCCAAACAAGTGAAGGCCCTCTGTTAGTTTTCTCTCATTGAATAATAACTTTAGTTTAAGAATATTCTCAGGGCACAAGCCTGGGAAGTTTTTACCTGAGTCCAACAGAAGGGGCATGTCAAGGGTCTGTTTCTTTTCTTTTAGGAATTGTGGACCCCGCACCCAGGCAGGCTCAGTGCCTTGCTGCTCGCTAATTGGTAAAAGGTGGGCCTCCTTTTTATTACTTTCCAGTTGGTCCGGTATCATCTTGTACGCCCCTGCACAAGCAAACGTGCAGAAGCTTTTACAGTTGAACACACGCAGCACTCTTCGTTTCCTAGGGTTGTTGCTTCTTGCCTCTTATTCTCTACTGTGTGAAGTAGATGACTGACCATATTCTCCTTGAGTCATGCTTTTGTTTTCCTCCCACAAAGCAGAAGTTAAAGTGTGCTTTGAACACAGAGGCTGTGTTAAGTGCACTATAGCGTAGGGGCCTCCATGGAAGGAAACTTAGTGAACGAGAACAGTGAAGAGAATGATATTTAATAGTAATTTGTATTTTTCAGAGAGACAGATTTAAGGTTTGGAGAGTTCAGATGCAGATGTATGTTTAAGGTCAGGTAGTAAACCAGTGGAAGAGATATTATTTTAAGGAAAAAAAGTACTTTGGGGTTGAATAAAGTTAGGTTGTCATTAAAAAGGCATTTCAGTATAAATATTTCAATTTACACAGCAAGGCTTTCACATTGACATTAAAATAGTAAAGGGCCAGAAGAGAAAAGCATTTTGGTTATTTAAACTAATTTTTTTCTTTATGGAATTCGAAGTCCTATATAGAGAGAGAAAATTACAAGCTATACAGTGTTTTTGGAAATACTGCCCTCGGGTTGTTTCTTTGTCTAGATAAGGAAGATCTGCGGGAAGATGGTGCTAGGATGCTGTATGAAGAATTCCAAAGAGTGAAGGAGCAGACGCGGCCGGGCACGAGACTGGACTTAGACACAGCTCACATCTTCTGTCAGTGGCAGTGCTGTCTGCAGATGGGGATGTATCTCAATCAGCTGCTGTCCACTCCTCTCCCGGAACCAGACCTAACTCGGTAAGCACCACGGGAAACTAGTTCAGATGGCTGCACACAGAAGTAAATACTTTTATTTATACTTAAAGCACATTAAGTTATGTTTAAAAAATTAATCTTAGTATAATTGGTCTTGGATCACTATAATAGCCGAAGAGCTGGAAACTGGAGAAATACTAATTTTTTCCATACTCCCAAAAAGTTTCCATGATTAGATCAAAGATTAAAAAACCAGCCCCGTAAAGTAAGAAAAGAGGCAGTTGGTAGGATATAACTCATTCCTTCATTTCTCTCAGGTCTTTTTCAAATATCACTTTATTAAGGCTTTTTCTGATTACCCTTCTGGAATATTAATTCTCTACTTCCAGTCACTCTATTCCTATTACTCTTTTGGATTTTTGTAAATTCCATTTCTTACCACTTGGCATACTCTTCACATACTCAAATATTTATTAAATGCCTACTCTGTGCTAGAGAGTAGTGAACAAAACATTTTTTTTTTAAATCTCTGTTGTCATGGAGCTTTTATTCTAGTGAGATGACTATTAGATGCTTCAGTGAACTTTAGGGTTTTTGTTTTGCCAGGTAAGTATGAAGAAGGGAGAGGCAGCCTGTTGCCAGGAAGTCATTATGTTGGACTATGTAGTTGAAGCTGGGTAAGAAAGAAAGATAGCAGTAGAGTGTGGGCTAGTGAAAAAGTGCTACTACATTCAGTGGGTTGGGACTTCCTGGTGATTGTCCATCCAGGAAATCCCAGAGGGAGGGAGGAAGATAAAGGGGAGACTGTTAGCAAATGGAGCTGAGGTTATAGGTATGCTTTGTCTCTCCCCACTTGAATGCAAGCTCTGTGAGGACAGGGACTTAGCTATTTTCTTTACTTTTGTAGCCCCAGGGCCTAACATACAGTAAGTACTCAAATATTTGTCAGATAAATGAGTGATATATGAATGGAGGCATATAAAATATGCTGGTGTGACTTTAAATGTTTTAAGGTATAAAGCTTCCTAAAGCAGTAAATATTGTTAATACATCCCTAGGCCTAATATCTGCTGAGCTAACCCTAGAACCTTCTACAGTAAGATTAACTGGCCTTTGACCTATGGATTCTTTATGCCTTTCCTTAAATAATTTAGGTCATTCTTGACTGGATCCTCTCTAGCTACCACAAATCCCTTTACAACAGAACAGAGAAAAAACAAGACCGAACAGTTCTCTTCATGATTTCAGCAGGACTGTTCTTGCCTCTCAGCATTACTAGAGCTTATTAAATGATGATCTTACACTGATTAAATGACAGTTCTATATCAGTTGCTAAGGCACCAGTTGATGAACTGTCATTAAGTTATATATTAAATTTGTGGCTTCCAGTTAATCCCATCTTATGTTTCTGAAGTAGGTTCTCAGTGCAAGTGAATCAGTGAACTTGCAAATGATGCCACTAAATTTTCTCATATTTCAACAGACGGCCTATTTGGTTTATTGGACATTTTTAATTCCTTTTCTTTGAAGTGTTAAGAGGCCTGCTCAACTTTTGGCTGGTTGCAGAACTAGCAAGCATCTATCATTTTTTGATAATAAAGTTTTTAAATATCATCAGCCAAGTTTGTAATAACAACTCCATTCCTTCCTTCAAGAACAGGTTTTTTTTAAGTAATTTTAATAATAATTTTATAGAAGAAGAATTCTCAATGTTTAGCTGCATTTGTTGAAGCCAATGTTAATGACCGTTGTCTCTGCACTGAACCTATGCTTTACCAACACACTTTTCTCTTCCGTTGAACAGACTCTATAGTGGAAGCCTGGTGCATGGACTATGCCAACAACTGCTAACATCTGCTTCTGTAGAAAGTCTCCTGAGCATGTGCCCTAAGGCAAAGCAACTATATGAACATCTGTTCAATGCCACAAGGTCATATGCCCCTGCTGAATTATTCCTACCAAAGGGTAAATCAAATTCAAAAAAAAGAAGGCAAAAGAAACATAGTACCAGCTGGTCAAAGAACAGAGTGGGAACCACCTCAGACACTAGATGCTTGTATGAGGGAAGCAATCGTTTTGGGCTATTAATGGTTGAAAACTTGGAGGAACAAACTGAGGTCTCAGAGCTTGAATAAACTCAGTCTGCAACCAGATGTATAATTCTTAAAACTTTTGTTACCTCCCTTGAAATGATTAACTGTTTTACTTAGAATCTGTTAGGGAATAAACATTGTAAGAGGCAACCTTTGAATCCCAAGGTATTTTGTATTCTGCTTTTAATAAATACAACCTGATTTAAGAAACTTTTGTATTTTCTTAAATACACTTGAAAGCATGTTTGTACTTCTTATGTTCCATTTCAGGAAGTCCATAACCTTTACATTGCAGCAATTCAGCTGGCTTTGTTTCCAAAAAGAACAGAAGTCCTACTTCAATTATTTCCTATAAGCAGAAGCTGGGTTATTATTTTAAACATTTATTTTTTCTCAACTGTTTCCTCTTCATCCTTTATTCTGAAAGGTCTGAGGCCTTGGAAGAGAAAAGTGAGGGTACCAGAGAGAAAGTAAACACCTTTAAGTACTAGGAAAATGAGACCATGGCAGGCTTAGGAACACTTTACATGCTCCAGGTTTTAAAGCATAAGTTAAAACTGTAATGGCTCCAACAAGTTAAGAAATAGCATCCTGAGCTCCTAGATCTAGAAGAGGAGGAAACACTATGAAAAAATTAAAAAATTAGTAATACATACAGCAATACCAGAATCTTAGGCCATTTTTTCTACTGCAGGTATTGACCCATTAATGGGATATGAAATTAATGAGTCATAACCAGCATTTTTTAAGTAGAAATCATCAGACATGCATATCATATATTAAATGGTTATGCAAAATGTTATTTCTTACTGTGGATTGCAGTCAAAAGACTTTGAAAGGCACTGCTCTGGAACATACTAAAAGGCTGCTAAAATTATAAGTACCAACAGAATTATGAAAGTGCTGGCCAGTACCAAATAAAGAACTTGAAAGTAAGCAAGTGGAATGAATCTAATTGGGCAAGATCTAGAGATCTGGAGGTAGATTCCCAACCTTTATTTTATTTGCATTCCTACAAATTGTTATTCCTTTCTTCTGTAGTCTCTCACTGGTATATTCCATCAGTGACAACCTAAAACATGGTTTTAAGCTACCATTTTGAACAGGCCTATGTTCAGTTCCTAACATCTGGCAAACAAGTCTTTCCACTTTCCTAATGAGAACCATACTCTTAGGGGAGTAAGCTCAGCATCAACCAGTGTTACATACACACCTTCCAAGTGTTGACTGGCAAAAACACAATCTTACTTGTTCCTAAAGTTTTCAGCCCTAAAGACTGGCTTTTGTTTCAAATAAATGGTTCTTGAAATAAGGAAATTTTTATTTTAGGAGGAGTGCGTGGGGCTCTGTACTAAGTTTCTTTTTTATGTCTCTAAAGAGATGGTTATTCACAGAAGAATCAAAAACAGTCATATGCTCTATTTTTGATATGTGTTTTTCCAGCAAACAGTAAATCTAATGGAGACTACAAGCACATTAAGTCCTTTGTTGTATCAAAATTCTTTTTCTTGATTCCTGCAGTTGGGGGCCAATCTGGAAATTACACCAGCATGAATGTCCTATTTCCTGGCTTTATTATCAACACTGCTTTTGCAAACCACCAACCTTGCATGAAAAACTATTTCTACTTCCACTTTGGCAAATAACTGGTTTGACAGGCACCTAACTGAAGAGTGTATGGGCTACAGAGTTTAATTAAAAGTCAACTGAATTATATCACTCATATTTTTCTTTCATTAAAGAGTTTTTCAAGCAAAGGGGCCCCTCCTTCAGTAGACACCGAAGTCAGGTTCCCTTCTCTAACCACTGCAATCAGGGCCATTCACTTGAAATTACCCAGACTTGCAGTGAAGGAGTTAAAATCTAATAATGTCCATTTACTCTTACTCTCTGAGAATTAAGGAGTTACCCCACCCCATTACAGATCTTCTCCTGGATGTATAAATGAGAGATCATAAGCACTCCACAAGGTATCTGAGGGGTTTACCAAAGAAATACGACATAGTACCTGGTCCCCAAAGTCATACTTACATAAGCTGCTTGGGGAGACAACACACAATGAAATAACAAGAACATTTTATGAAGCAATCTGTCAGCCACAAAGTGGCAAAAGTGCAGACTGAATGCTACAATAAAGAGAGCAGTCACCAGGTGAGGAGGGGTTAAAGCACAAGATTCTCAGATTTGGCTTTGAGCCTGGCTTTAAGAGACAGGGATGTAATTCATGAAATACAGGGGCAATGGTAACACCTCTACAGAAGAATAATGTTATATATTCCATATTCTATTTGGAAAATTTGTTTCCTGTTTTTAATCAAGTCTTTAGGTCTTGCTCGCTCTTTCTGATTCAATTCTAGCTAATGAAAGCCCACCTGAGGCTTTGCAAATATAAGTCTTCAATTAGTTTAAGTACCAAAGGGACTCTGGACAGTTTTTTAAAATGAATAAATTGGAGCACCTGGGTGGCTCAGTCATCGGCTCAGGTCATGATCCTGGGGTCCTGGGATCGAGTCCCGCATCGGGCTCCCTGCTCAGCAGGGGGGTCTACTTCTCTTTTTCTCTCTCTCTCTCCCTGTGTGTGCTCAAAATCTCTCTCTCGCTCTCATTCTCTCTCAAATAAATCTTCAAAAAAAATAAAATGAATAAATTTTAGTAATAAAGCTAAAGAGAGAAAAACACTATAATATAATCATACTCTATCTAGTTGTGATAAAATTATACTTGAACTTCATTTGTACAACCCCTTTATGATAGTTAGACCTAGAAAGCTTAATGTATATATCCTGTAACTATAAATTCTAAAGGCTTTTCAAGATGAGTGATCATGACAAAAAAAATTCAAATTAGTTTTAGTATTTAAGTTTAGATTCTAATTCAAATTAATTATGATTTTAGAAGATAAAGACCTTTGGGATGCCTGGGTGGCTCAGTCGGTTAAACATCTGCCTTTGGCTCAGGTCATGACCCCAGGGTCCTGGGATCAAGTCCTGCATCGGGCTCCCTGCTCAGTGGGGAGTCTGCTTCTCCCTCTGTCTCTGCCTGCAGCTCCCTCTGCTTCTGTGCTCACTCTCACTCTCTCTGACAAATAAATAAAAACTTAAAAAAAAATACAAAGATAAAGACCTTTCTAAGTAGAAAGGTCTTAGAATTATCTTTTCTTCTTTTGTGCATAAATGAATTAATGATGATGCCTCAGTTACCCTATCTGTAAAATGAGGATCACAAGAGTTCAAATTGTTAGAGACAAAATGACATGTACTTTTAAGTTACTTCACCCAGTGCCTGGCACTAGAAACATGTAAGGAATGCCAACCATTATTGTTACATCCACACAAGAAGACCAAGAGCAAAGCAAGGGATCTGAGAAGGAGAGGTGGCTGAGCAGAAAGACCAAAGTACCGTGAAATTAGTGGCTGCCAGAGCTAATGGCAGAAATTTTGCAGAGGCAAGGAGATCAACACTATCAAATATGGCTAACATGAGGACAAGAACGTGAAAACATGAAAGCAACTTCAGCAGAACTGTCCAGCTGAAGCCACACTAAAAGGAGAAGGGCCAAGAGAATGTGAATAGGCAGCCAAGCTCAACCTTAGAAAATAATGAAAAAAGACCAGAAGGAACTATCCCTGTGGGTACTTGTGCCCCTCCTTCCCTTTTTCTTGTTATCAAGGGATTTTCTGTATTGTTTTTAAAACCCAATTTGAAAGAGCACTGGGTATGTTTAAAGAAAGGAAAAAATTAATAGCAGATATGACCACTTCCTATGAATTTCCTCTTCCTGCAACTGCCAGAGCTATCTCCTGGCCTTATCCCATAATCCTAAGGAGGCCAAAGTGAGTTTTCCCCCTTAGTGAGCTTTCCAGAGTTCACTGGGTACCTCTTGCTAGCACATGTTATTTGGCTGGCTGGCACTCCGTGAACCCAGAGCAGCACCTGGAGAGCAGTCACCCCCCTCCAAGACGAGCAGAAATAAGTTCACTTCCGTAAAAGGACCAACACTCACTAGTACCTGACTTCAAACACAGTGACCTTTTATTTTTTAGTGAGGTGGATATAGTGTACTTAGTATATATTGCATTAACGTCTTATACATTGATGCATTTCAGTCAAGACAGCTGGAAATGATTCTGCACCTTGTAACAATTTGTAATTAAATACTTATTTTGGGAAGATGTATTAAAAAGATGCCTCCCCACTTTTAGCAACAGCTTTCTGAACCATGTATGGTAAGCTGCTTTGGCATTTCTTTCCAGGTCTGAAATTTGCTAAAATTCAAGTTCATCCAACTATAAAAATTCTAAGATGAGGACCTCATGCTGAGGAAGAACGTTTTTAAATTCAAAGCCATAACTGCCAGGCCATGTACCAGTCTGTTAAAATGGGAGAAACAGATGAATGTATTTCCAGCTTGTTTCACTGGATCTAGTTTTCAGGGAGAAAAATCAAATTTCACACAAACATGTTGCAATGCACATGCAATCACTTTTATTCCAAACTAGTCTTGACAACATTTTAGATATCTGGTTAAAATAGCAAAATCTTTCAATATTTATATATTTGTGTGTATACATATGTGTGCATGTATATGCACATACATATACATGTATACATACATATTTTAAATAATTTTCTCATTATGATTTTGGAGACACTTGGGAGATTTCTATGTACAATATAACTCATTGTCATCATGATCAGGAAACACGTAGGAATGTTTTTGTTTTAAAAAAAAGCTGATCAGAATGTATCAACATTGGGTTTTTGATCATTTATAAGACTGAATCATTTGTGAAAAAATTACGCCATCACGTGAGCTAGCTTACAAGATTAGGAAAACTCTTCTGTTGTGTTTTTTGATATAACTGGTGCTTTTTGGAGGATTAACTGAGGTGCTGTTTCTTCTTGAAAAACTGCCATGTGTCTATCTGGGCATTATCTCCCCATATCTTCCTCTGATTCATGTGTGTTACACATTATGGGAGAATAAATCAAAGGATGACAGGGAAAACAGAAAGTCTACTTTGCATTATCTCAATGCTTGCTAACATGGATATAGAATAAACTCTATTTCATGACAGAGGTAGGATTATGTAGATTAATCCAACTGTTAGAAGAACTTGCTCTGACATGGAAACTTTTTTTTGAGTAAATACTTATAACATCACTCTGAAAAAATGGTGTTTGTAAATGTGCCATTGAGAAGTCCTATAAATTATTGCTAAAATTACTATGGTCATACAGCATTTTTATGCCTTCATAAAATACTGGCAGGAACCCTCTGTCTTCAGATTTCCTATTCAGTCATTCATTTGCATAGGATAAGGTATAGTTGGGAAGTTGGGGATCTAGGGGTTCTGTTGTGGATATGTTAAGTTAGAAATACCTTTTAGGTGCTTAAGTGGAAACGTCTGCTGGGCAGCTGGATATATGTCTAAAACCTAGGTTAAAGTCTTTGGGTATTGAGATTATAAAGTGTTTTCCTTGTCCTCTATTTAAAAACCTCCCCAATGAGTATTTTGTATTATTTTATGATCAGAGAGAGGTAGTAGTTGATGCCTCTAGGAAGGATGGCATCAAGAGAGCAAGCTTCTGATGTTCCCTTGTCTTGTCCCAAGAAATTCTGAAAAATAAGAGGTAAAAATGGTGGGTAGGGGGGACTTTGTTGTTGAAATCTGAGAATGGCCCATAAGCCCAAGTTTCCAATCACAATGTACTGTATGTAGCCCCTCAAGCTCTCAGATGTATGCAAACTGGTTTTTTTTAAAAGATTTTATTTATTTGAGAGAGAAAGAGCAAGTGAGCGTGGAGGGAGGGGCAGAGGGAGAGAGAGAGAGAGAAAGAGAAAGAGAGAGAGGGAGAGAGGGAGAGAGAGAGAATCTCAAGCAGACTCTGCACTGAGCGTGGAGCCTGACACGGGCTCAATCTCACAACCCTGACATCATGACCTGAGCCGAAACCAAGAGTAGACACTCAACCTACTGAGCCACATGGGCACCCTACGAACTGTTTTTTAAAAGACAAACTAAAGAAACTGACCCTATTATAATAATAACCATAATCTATTCACAAAGTGATAAGTCTGACAGCCAAGGGTGGACTGTCAGAGGAACCTACTAAGAAATATTATCATAATTTTACCTTAGAAATATGATAAATACTATGTAAATGTATTTTGGTTTGGAACATTCTGTTCTGAGAAAATACAAGAGTGCATTTTCCCCTAAGACCGTGCTGATAGGATATTTTGGTTTTACTTTTACTAAATTTTGTCTTCCCTAAGCAGGATAATATAAAAAAGCCTACTCAAATTAAGCTTGTTTCTGTGTTTGTGTTAGGAAGAAACAGCCAGTGAGAAGGAAGCCCCCACTTCTCTTGTGCATATGATGAGGAGCACAACTCAGATGCGGCAACAGATCAGAACACTCTACCCATTCATTGTAAGAACAAGGAGCCCTAGTGATGAGCTGGAACTGATAACAGCTGGTATGTCCTCCCTGTTGATGATGATGTTCTGAGAATAGACTAAGACTCTCTGACTTCCTCCATATAGGAGACTTAAGTGGGGACTTAGAAGAGTCACTGACATTAAATCTGGTGTCAAGTTCATCCATCCCAGATAACATCTTGTTGGGAGATTGGAAGGTAGAGAAAATTGATGCCACCTCCTCTAGACCACTGAACGCAGTGCATAGGCCTATTTTCCTCTTTTTGAGTATTTATATGACTAGGCAACCTTTATTCTGTAAAAGGCCAGAGAGTAAATAGGTTAGCGAGCCATGTGGTCTCTGTTACAACTATTCACTTCTGTTGTAGCATGAAGCAGTGATAAATAATACATAAATGAATGTACATAACTGTGTTCCAATACAACTTTATTTACAAATCCAGCAGCAGACTGATTTAGTTTGTTAACCCCAAAACTAAGTCAATAGCCCTTGTGGGTGACTTAGGGAAGTATTAAACTGTTTCACTAATTTGCAACACATCTACCTAATTCATGGGCCATCCAGACCTCCATAGAGTCATAAATTCTAATGCAATCCTATTGTATAACCATATTGATGACTATGAGAAACACGAAAACATATTCATTTGTAACTCCCTAAAATTGATTTATTAATGCTTAAATGTAAAGTCTGTCAAGTCTTTCCTATCAAGCAAACATTTTTTACAATTATCTATTTGGTTGGGGCCTGATATAAATGGCTCCAAGGAGAATATTTTGGAAGACACACGTAAGTTGTTTCATATACTTTTTCTGATGCAGATGTGATAAAAAAAAAAAAAAAGAGCACCTGGTCAAGGCATTTCAGTATTTCTTTATGACCATAAGATGGCACCAAATTGTTACTCCTCAACTAGCAAGCACTTTAGCATACTTATCATAAGGAAGGCCTTAATAGAAAATTGTTCTTAATACAGTTGGGTGGATAAGTATTTTTTAAAAAAAAAGAGAGAGGGAGAGCTGTATTAAAAAACACAATTTTTTTTGAGTTCTAAAGCTGGAAATACTCAGAACCCAAAACGGACCTCTAGGTTCATGCAGAACCATTTGCCCAATCAGCACAATGTACTTTGTTAAGACTGAGATATGGGGGGCGCCTGGGTGGCTCAGTCGGTTA